AGAGGAGGAGGAGAAGAGGCGGGGGCGGGGCCTTGAGGAAGGGGCTGGAATCTGGGCATACCCCCTCCAGCCCCCTGCATGAGAACCCCTACGACTCCAGCCCACACCCCCAGCCCTCTGCCCACCCTGACCTCTGCACCCCCCTCACACACCTCCCCAGCCCCCTGCCCTGACTCCTGTGTGCCCCCTCACACCCCCCCAGCCCTGACTCCTGCACTCCCCACACATACCCAGCCCCCACCCCCACCCCATTCCCTGACTCCTGCACCCCCCCACATCACCACCCCCACCCTGAGCACCAAATGGGAGCTCCTGCACACACACCCCATTCCCACCTGCACCCCTCACACCAAACAGGAGCTGTCCCAGGTAAGCTCTCGACACCCCAACCTCCTGCCCCAACCCTGAGCCCCCTCCCTCACCCTAGCTCCTGGCCAGACCCTGCACCCCAACCTTTTGTACATTTTTTTAATCAAGCGCTCTTATCCAAAGGGCTTTACAATAGTTAGCTAACAGCACAAACAATATTTGGAAAGATTATAGAGTGGTCCGTCGAGACCCTCCGTGATTTTCAAGTGGGCTGTGGAAAAATAAGTTACACTCAAGAACAATCAAGGCTCCTCCCTTTATTTTCATTTACTTCCTATTACTTATAGGAGGAGGGGGAAGAAAAAAAGACTGAAAAACGGGGGTGGGGGGAGATAAGAGAGAATGTTCTTTTTCTTGGCTGGCTCCCAAGGAGGGGCCCCAAAAATGAAGCTGAGCACAGGGCCGGGGGGCCCCACGAACTCTAAATCCACCACTGGCTGTCACGTCACCTGGGCTGGGGATACTATGTCTAGGGTGACCAGACAGCAAGTGTGAAAAATCAGGACAGGGGGTTGGGGGTAATAAGATCCTATATAAGAAAAAGATCCCAAAATCGGGACTGTCCCTATAAGATCGGGACATCTGGTCACCCTAACTGTGTCAGCTGAGCCCCACAGTCGCCAACCTACCTGGGCAGTACAGCAGACATGGCCCTGCCCACTAGCTCCTCTCCACTCCCTAGCCCACCCACCACTTGCTACCCCCCGGCTTAAAATTGATTGCTTGCCTCCCCGCCCCCGGCTTTTCTGGCAGCCCCGTGGCCAGGTATCCAGTTTTAGACTGGAAACTCCAGTAGAAAACGGGACCTGAGTGTCCAGTTAGCAGTTCTGACTGGAAACTAAAAGGTTATAGGAGTAACCACATTAGCTTCCGCTCCTCCCACTCCCAACACCCACCCCACAGGGCTGGAAGAGAACCTGTCCTCCTGCTACGGGAGGAGCGGCAGCTCAGTGCAGAGAGAGACGAAGAGAATGGGCTAGAACCAGGTAGGTACCCCCTCTATATGGGCGGAGGGGGGGGATCCTGTTTACCCCCTCCCCAGCCCTGCTGTGCTTGCAGTTTATCCCCGGTACCTCCAACCAGGGACCAACTCTAGCTCCTGCCCCACTGTGCTTTTGCCCCTGACCCCTTTTACAATCATTCCCCAGGGGGGCCGACAAAAAGTTAATCCGGCCTTGCCCCTAGCAGCCAGCCAGTTCCACTCAGTCCCATCAGGCCCCCCGCACTGCTACTAGAGGGCAGCACCTAGCGCTGATCAAAGGACTGTGTTCACATACTGAATAGAGATCACCCCATGACAGGCACTCAGCTTGGTTCTGGAGCAAAGGCCTGGGAAAGCCACAAGGGAGACTAGTGGGAGGAGGGGGAAGATGCAAATTTGGGTTTAAGTGACTTGCTTTAGGTCACACACAAAGAGTTGTTGGCAGAGGCAGGAATAGAACCAAGGAATACTGGCGCCTATTCCTTTGCCTGAACCATTGTCCCACCACGCTGCCATCTCAGCGGCCTGTCCTTGCGTACTGTGTTACCTTGTATCTGTAGGTCCTCTCAACCTCTTCCTTGTAATGTTTGATCTTGACTTCATGCTGGGCCCGCAGGTCCTTGAGGCAATCAGCCAGCTTGCTCTCAAACTCCCTCTGGCGGTCGTTGTTGATCTCATCCGAGAGGGACTTGCGGAGACGGTTGGCTTCATGAAGTTTCTGGGGTGGAAGCGTCACAGCAATAAGGGGGTATGTGAGCCAAGGGTCTCAGAGATGGAGCTCACTGGCAAAGGACAGCAAACAGCTGCTAGCCTGCTGGTGGGACCTGCACTGGTGTTGGCTGGGACTCACCTGCCCCCTAGTTGGAAGCTGAGCAGAGCTAGGCTCAAGTGGGAATTGCTCCAGGTGTAACGTACATGACCGAGAACCTGGGTCCTAATACCACTCTGGTGGCAACTGATTTACTCCCCCCAGATGGTTCCTTTATACTGTCAGAGTGGGAGAGGTTCATTTGTGGAGCTCCAACCCGCTGCAGGCAATTGCTAACCCGTAACGACCTCATCAAGCGTGCCCAGGTGCAGGGGGTGGGGGAGCATTTCATTTTGGGGGCTGGGGTTTAGGGATGGAGGAAAGTCCTATAAACTCTACAAGCTGGCTTGGAAGGATTAGATTTTTATTGCTAAACGTTGATTTTACTCCACACACAAACCAATGAAAAAATGTTTCCGTTGATAATAATCAAAATTTACAGCGAAGCAATCTAAGAAAAATGCTGCTTGAGAACTTATTTAAATTTGACTGAAGGATATTTCCTTTGTGTATTTAGACATGTAATGTTGAAAATTTGTGTTTTATTGGTTATAAAGTTTTAATTTTTGAATCTCAACTTCTATTGTCATTAAATAATTGTCTAGCTCCCCACCCATTTCCCATAGCTGTGAAAATTTAGGAGCTAAAAATTGCTACAAAATAAATATTGATATTATCCATCTAAATTATATATAAAAAAATCAAATTCTGCCAAGCTTAGCTACAAGACGTAAGAGCCCCAATTCACAGATGGGGAAACTGAGTCTGTGAGGGGAAGTGACTCAACTAGTGTGACACAAGAAGTCAGTGGCAGAGCCGGGAACAGAACTCCGAAGTCCTAGCTCCTGATCCCATATGCTAACCATTAAATCATATTATCTCTGGATTCGCCTTTGCCCCCCCGCCCCGCCCCGCCCCGCCCCGCCCTCACCAATATGCTACTGGAAACCATCTCCCCAAAAGTGAGGTGGCATTTTGTGAATGGTGCTAAATGGATTCCCTGCCCAATCCACAGCTGAGCTGGCACCGCCACCAAGGCACCCTGCTTTAAGTTTTCTGTTCCTGAGGGATTTGGCATGACCTGTCCTCATCGGGGAGTGATAAATCACGGGCCCATACTGTGCATACGGCTGCAGCAAGGGTGTGTATTGTGCCGGCAGCTGCCGTACTAGCCTGGGTCAGGCCTGACCCCTGCATTCGAAGGGCCTTGCTCAGGGGCAGCCCGACCCCGCTCACCTCGCTGTAAATGTTCTTCTGGAAGTCGAGTTCTTCCTTCAGCGTCTGCAGACGGTTCTCGGCGTCCACCCGACGCAGCATCTCGTCCTGCAGCTGCTTCTTCACCTCGCCCAGGGCGGCTTCCAGCTGGGGAGGGGAGAGGGGAAAGCGAGCGCAGCTAGACAGAAACTCTCAGACACAACAGATGAGTCTTGATTGAGGTCCCTAGCCAGAGGGCTGGGCATTTCCCGGTTTGCCAAGGGCAGCGAAAGGGACCCTGTCTGGCAATCGGCACAACCAGCACACAGGCCAGTTGGATTCATCCCCCTCTGCAGCCAAGGCTCCATTTTTGCCTTTCCCATCAGCAAAGCGATGCCAGAGCTTGCAAGTCAGCAGTAGGAGTGTGACTAGAACTGGAGCCTTCCCGGCTCCCCGAGACACCAATCAAACCCTGGGCCTGCGTCCCTCCCAGGTGGGGGCAGCTCACACCATCCCACCTAGTGTTGGCTCCCTAGCTCACTGGGACCATTAGCTCTCTGGAAATGCAGGGTCCCACTCCCTTCCACTCTGAGCTACATGGGGTTTTTCAGCAGGATGTGCACAGGGAATGCCATGATCTCTGGCACGGCAGAGGGGGCTGCCTGTGAGGGGCCCCGGGCAGCAAGGGACAGGAGTCCGGACCTGCTGCTCACCTCGTCCATTTGTGCCCTCAGCTCCTCGACTTCATTCTCCAGGTTCCTCTTCTCCCCCAGGGCAGTGGTGAGCGCGGCCTCCTTGTCCTTGAGGCGAGCCAGCAGGTCCCTTTCCTTCTTGGCACTCCTGGAACACAGCCAACAAACTGCTCTGGTGATGTGTCCGGGGAAACCCCTGCCCCTGCAAACGAGGGCCCAATGCTGGAGAGAGGCCCAGAGCACAATTCCCAGGTCCAAACACCCCTCCACCCCCCGGGGAGAGCTCAGATCCCGAGTCCAATGGTCCTGCTGAATTTCACATCAGTGGAAGATGCCAAGTTGACAGCTCTGGTGCTCGGAGACCCATGTAGCCACAGAACAGGTCCAGATTGCCCAATTCCCGCTACGTTTCTCCTGGATCATTCAGCTACCATGCCCCCGACTCGGGATCTGCACAGACAGGAGGAGTTTTACACCAGGGCGGGTAGTGATGCTTCAAACCAGGGAAAATGAGTCTGACACAGGAACAAGTCCCGTTTCATAGTGATGCCGCACATCCACCCTGCACTGCTTGGGGTAGCTACCCTGCTGCAAATATCCCCAGTATAGACAGGGCCTGAGTCTCTTCGATCTCCCATGCACCCAGCTTCCCATTAAACACTTGGCCGGATGATCACCCACAAAAGTAGCATGTGCTACATCCTATGTTATGGGCTGTTTTATTGACCTTGCCCTGCTGGGGTTTATTGGATGGTGATTCCGAGCAGACTGCATGTACAGACTATTGTAGGCCAATGCTACTCTATTATACTAAATTGTATGCAATACTATACTGTTGTAGTATAACTAATTTAATTGGCCTCGTCTGCAGTTCAGTCTGTATTAAAGAGTTGAAGTTTTAGATTAAAATGTAGTTTTCAGGCAGAAAGAAACTGCAATAAAAGTACTCGGACTAGTAGTTCTTCCAATGATTAATAGCAAGACTTGCCTGGAACTTCGTCTTTGATTTCCTCTGTTTAATTGTAGCCCTAAGAGAAATAGGGTTTTGATTTACAGAAAATGTAGAATTGGGTACAGAAAGTTTTAAATGTCAGTAACAATAAAGTTTCCCACAATAATCATTTCATATGATTTCAATTCAGAAGAGCTAAGGGTTGATTTGTGTGGGGGGGAAAAACTACAACAGCCAAGTTTCAAATTTAAAAGTGGAGAAAAAAATTCTAATACATTTCTTTCTTTTGACTAATATAAAAAGTTGATTTTCTTCTTGTAATATATGTGTGTGTGTGTGTGTGTGTGTGCCCGCGCGCGCATGTGCAGGAGCACGAGCACCTCCCACTGACCAGGGTACACTGCTTACCCCATGTCTGGGACCAAGGGGTCCCTCTCCCCTGTTTGTGTCCCTTACATGGGAGATCCCCCATCACAGGATGTGGGAAGCGGAGGAGGGGGATCTCTCACTGGAACAGGGTTTCCCTTCCCCTCACTGTGACTAGGGCAACCCCCATCCGGGCAGGGGTTATTCCAGGGTGGATGGGAATCTCCTCTGTCTCCTCCTGACCAGGGTATCCCCTCCACGGGGCAGGCTCTGGTTGTGGGTGGGGGTCCGCAGCTGCCATTGGCCCTGGTTCCCAATCCCAGCCTATGGGCTGGCTGGAAGCTGTGGAGTCAGCTGTCAGGGAGAGGGGACAGAGGCAGCATGCGGAACCGCTCCCATAGACCTCAACATTTTTACCGTGGACACTTGTGTCTGTGAACTGACATGTTGGCGACCCTCATGCCGTGAGGCCCTGGCCAATTTGGGGATCCCAGAAATATCTCCTACCGCAGCCCCTCGGCTGGAGGCGCTCTCACTCCCCACCCCAGCCCAGAGCCGGGGGGCAGAAAGGAATAAACGCGGTGGCAGGGCTGCAGGGAAGGGGCAGGATGGGGCGGGGCCCTGGGCGGAACAGGGGCGGGGCCACAGGGAAGGGGCAGAATGGGGCAGGGCTGTGGGTGGAACAAGACAAGGCAGAACGGTGGCGGGACCACAGGCGGAAGGGGTGGGGCAGGGCCACAGTTCCAGCACCAGGGCTCCCCCGCCCCCACTTGCTCCAGCCCAGGGCCACTGGAGACCTTAATCCGCCTCTGCAGTTGTGGACCAGGATCCCATGGCACTAGGCACTGAACTGACAAAGGGAAAAAAAGATGGTCCTGCCTCAAAGACCTGTCACTGTAAGCAACCTCCCTACTCCACGCTGCCTACTGAAGATGTCTTGGATCCACAGGACATTTCAGAAACATTATACGTACCGGGGATGGCAAATGGTGAATGAGAATTTAGGCCTAATTTTTCTGCTGGCTAGTGATTTTGGGTGCCAGACTTGAGACACCTCAAAGGGGCCGATTTCCAAAGGGACGAGCTGCACGACTTGGTTTGCACTGATACAGCAGTAGATCTAATGCGACCACTCCCAAGACAACTCCCCTCCAAGGATGGCCCCAGCTCTTGAACACCCAGTGTCGATCTTATGCACTGATCGGGGTGCATTTATTGCGGGGAGGTGGGGGAAGCCAAGAATCACCCCCTTACCGCTAAACCTGCTGCCTCAGTAACATCCCAGCCAGGGTAGAGGTTTTTTCCTTCCTCCTCCTACTCTGGATTGGTTTTTTCCCCTCCACGTCCCTTTGTCAAACACATTACAACACGCTATTCACCTCAGCCTTTGGCCTTGGAATATTTGTGGCTTCCTTCCCAAGGCTGCCAGCCCTAACTGCTCCCACTCCAGCTTTGAGGGAGTGCCCCACCTCTCGGAGGGGATGGGAGGAAATTCTCCCACCATCAGCTGCCCCAGGGCTTAGCATGACCCCGGTGCTTACCGTGTCTTCAGCTCCTTGAGCTTCTCCTGCACTTTGCTCAGCTCCAGTTGCAGTCGTGCCTTCTCCTTGGCCACGGAATCCAAGGTCTTGCGGGCATCCGCCAGCTCCGATTCATAGGTTGCCTTGATGCTCGACTCTTCACGGCTCGACATCTCTTCGCAGGTGGCGATGCGCAGCCTGAGTTCAGCATTCTTCGACTCCAGCGAGCGCACCCGGTCGATGTAGACGGCCAGCCGGTCGTTGAGCTCCTGCAGGTCCTCCTTCTCCTGCAGGCGGGTGTGGGGGGTTACCGGAGGTGGCTGGCAACCTGCTCTACACCGTGCATTGCGGTTCTGACCGCGGGTGTCCATAGCGGTTGACAGCCTGGGTGAAATGTGAGCATCAGTCAGTGACTCAGATCCTCAGAGCTCCCTTCCTCACCGGTACTGACACCTGAGTCACTCACCTGGAACTCTGCTCAAATATCCTTGGGAAATGGGTGTGGAGTGTGGGAGGGGCTGTGCAAAAGAGGGCCAACCCCCTGCTTTGTTTAGTTAAAGGAGTGGAGGCTCCTGGAAGAACAGGCTCTGTTTAAACTAAGAGCTTGTCTACCTGGGAAGGTTATAGCAGGATAACCTATAGTGTGAATTCAAACAGATATATTGATAGTGGTATAATCAGCAGGTATTCTGGAATCCCATCCCATCTCCTAGAACTGGAAGGGATCTTGAAAGGTCATCGAGTCCAGCCCCCTGCCTTCACTAGCAGGACCAAGTCCTGATTTTGCCCCAGATTCCCAAGTGGCCCCCTCAAGGATTGAACTCACAACCCTGGGTTTAGCAGGCCAATGCTCAAACCACTGAGCTATCCCTCCCCCCCATTAGAGTGCCATTCTCCGTTTAAAGCAACAGAGGGTCCTGTGGCACCTTTGAGACCCTCTGTTGCTTTTTACAGATTCAGACTAACACGGCTACCCCTCTGATACATTCTCAGTTTAGCTTATCCTACTTTGGAAGGGGTTTTAAGTAACCTGCTAAGTGCCCCACTTGTTCCATAATAATAAATAACAATCCCTAGCATTTTTCGTCAGTAGATCTCAAAGCACTTTACTAAGGAGGTCAAGTGTAATTATCCCCATTTTACAGGTGGGGAAACGCAGGCAGAGGGAGGAGAAATGACTTGCCTAGGGTCTCCCAGCAGAGCAGTGGCAAAGCCAGGAATAAAACACAGGTCTCCAGAATCCCAGGCTAGAGTGTGAGCTACAAGACCACACTACCTCCAGAATAAGAGTGCCCGTATCAGGAGTTAGGGCTTATCTACACAGGGAAATTGACCAGAATAGACACCTCCCACCTCATGGACACGCTAATTCCAGAATAAGACCTTTAACTGCAAAAATGAGCCTACCAGATTCTCACCCTATTACCTAATGTTTGGCAGAGAAACTCATCTGCCGGTGGACGTATGCTTTGGAGTATCTACAGATGGCCCCTGCCAAGAGTCCTCCGTGTAGTACATAAGTAACATGGCTTAAAGAACAAGTGAGTGCTGCCTACAAGTGAGCAAGGAATGCTGCAGAGAAAAGGAACTCCAGAAATAAAAATAGATATGACAGATGAGTAACTGAACAGGATTGGCTACCTGAAGACCATGTACTCATCCGAAATCTCGGGATCCTTGGGACGCCCAATCTGAGTGACTATTGGAAGTCTGACCTGTATGTTACAGTCCAGACACTACCAGACATTCCAGTGTACCGCTTGAAGTGAGAGAATGGACTGAGAGACAAAAGTTTTGCACAGAAATCACCTGCTGCCAATGGGACAGTTAGTTCATTGTCCGGCCACACCCACAGCAAGACAGAGCGTTTTTTATCCATCTCTGATGCTTTTTCACACCACTGTGTTTGACAGGCTTCTTCTGTTGCTGCTGCTGAGAACGCAGTCAGAGCACCCGGTTCTGGATCTCAGCCCCGACAGCAAGGCTCAGAACGTGAGGGAGCAGAAGCTGGCGCTGCTCTACAAGTCACCCAACCGCCTGAGTTGTTGTGACGGCTACAGCGGACGCAGAAGAAAGATCTCCAGAGTAAGCAAGGCCCAAGAGACTGATAAGACCTGTGTCCTGACTCACCTCCAATTCCCTTGGTGTGCCTGGTGACTTTCCGTTGAGTGTGGTGCAAAGGTTCAGATCACCTCTGACTGATTTCGCTCAGGGAGTGCCTCACGTGTCCTCTGCAGAGGTTCAAAATATAGCAAGTGTCAGATAAATGTTAGGATATTCCGGTTAAATAGGAATTCTGTGTAGGCAGATAGCACTGCTTAGCTAAGTGACTGTGACATTGCAATTGTGGACATTGGATACTTTTGACTTTTGACTTGTTAAAGCCTAGGTCTTGACCAGGGCATCAGGATTCCAGCAGAGGGAGGATGTAGTCCCCGCACCGGCCTTAGCAAGGGGGCTGTACCCCAAGAGAAGAGACATCTTTGGGGCCCCAGTGGGGTCCACAACCAAGTGGTTGTAGCTCCATTAACGTCAACAGTGTTTCACTGAAATTCAGTGACACAACGTCGATTTACAACAGCTGAGTGTCTGGCTCGGGCTATGCATTTTATGGGTGCACGTGGTAGAAATCTATTACAATCAACAAACAGCACATATCTAAAACTCATCCCTTAACATTGAACCCTAGCTCCTCTGTTGGGATTTATAGATTACTTTTCTATTTATAGATAACTTTTTGCATGTTGGCAGCATTTATCATTTTGATTAAACATTTTCTCGGGAGAAACAAAGCAATAAACGTCTTATCAATGCTCATTTTGAACGTGAACATTATTTTCATTGTTAGTTAATTATTATGCATGACCCATGGAATGATTTTAAGCAGCTGATCGCTTTGTCAGCTGTTTTAACAGCTGGATCTTGCTCCGATTCAAGTCAACGGGAACAAAGGCCATTCACCTTAATGAAGCAAGGTGGGTGAGGAAAAATCTTTTATTGGACCAACTTCTGTTGGTGCAAGAGACACATTTTTAAAATTAAGCATTTGCTTACATTTTTCCAGGATTGGGGTCTGATCCATCAATGCAAGATACCACAGCACAGTTGGCACCAAATATTTTCTCTTGTTGGCTTCTATTGTCCTTCACTCCCCTCTCCTTTTTGAGTTGAGTTACTATTAAATTAACACTTCCCTGTAGATTGGAGGAGGCTAAGGATTACAGACTTGTTGGAATATTCTGAGGAAGAGAGGCTAGAGACATGGCAGATCAAGTAGGGAGGGGATTTCAAGTGTTTGAGGCAGCATGAAAGAAGGTGTGAGGATGGGACTGGGAGGCAGACACAAAAGTGTTGGCTAATTGTATGGCGTGGACCAAGCAGAGAGGGTTGCAGAAGCATCCAGGAGAGAGAGGAGCAGGTTGTACAGGGCCTTTAATGAGCCCGAACTTGGTGTGGGAAGTAGGGATGGTTGGAAATTTCCTGTCCAACTGTTTTCAATGGAAACACGTATTTTAAAAAAAATGAACATTTTCATAGTGAGCATCTGCTTCCCTCAAAAATGTTTGACTTTTCATTGGCAACCCAAAAATTCCAAAAGTTTTCAATCTAAAATTTCTGAGTTTTCAGCAGGCTTGGGTTGAACATTTCTAGTTTTCAACTTCTGGGGGGGGGGTTTGGATGAAAAAAAAATGCTATGAAGGGGATGCCTCCTGGTGGGTTCAGATGGGGTTGGTTTAGCTTTCCTCAGAGAAGCAACAGAGGTAAATATGGACCAGAACATAAATCTATTATTTGCCCCCTTTTCTACAATTTTTGCAGTAATCTGGATTATTAGGATGGAGGAGTTCAGTTTCCATTGGAGGGCTTCAGCTTTGCTTCTAGTTATTATGAATTGCTATTAATAGTAATATTAGTAGTATTGTCCTAGAGCAGGACCCATGGTTATCATGTTGACCAGTATTGTCTTATTGTTTCCTAGTACTTCCCCATCTGTCCATTTCCATCTGTTATCTCTTGTTTTATACATAGAATGTATCCTCTTTGGGGGCTGGGACTGTCTTTTTATTTGAATATACTAAAATAAAACATTAGGTCCACTGGAGTGTTGCCACTAATAGGCCTTCACTCTTACCTGGCTTGGTGAGAAGCCTTCACTTCAAGTATTAGCTACGGATAAGGATTTTGTTCTTCGAGGCAGGGTGTAGTTTGGCAAATGTTTCAGATTATCAAGTGAACCTTGATTCTGCAGCATTTGACCTGATCTAAATACCCAGGTCAAGGAGTGAAATGAATCACCCTCTAGAATTCCCCTTGGCTCCCATTTTGATTTAGTAGATGAGAAAAGGCATTTTGCACAATGTGTAGTTGGCCTTGGGAACTCGTTGCCAAAAGATATCGTTGAATCCGAGAGCTCAGCAGGATTCAAAGTAAGAGGAGGTGTAGTAACTATAATTCAGTTACATGACCTACAATGAACATTTATAAGTGACATAAAACCTCCCGCTGATGGGCATAGCCAAGCACCAGCTGATGGGAATCAGGAATCAATTTCCCCGTGGGCAGGTTACCCCAGAGCTGCAGGGGTTCTCGCAAACTCCTCTCAAGCACCTGGTGCTGATCACCATTGGAAACAGGATATGAGGCTAGATGGACCCTTGGTCTGATCCAGTCTGGGAATTTCTCAGTTCATTAAGGGAACTTTGTCAGCTGTGTTTGGGGCAGAGCTAATGCCGTGAGCAGGGTTTCACGTCGGATCCCACAGTTAAGAAGTCACACCCTTCCCCCAGAACCTCTCTGCCTTTCAAAAAAACCTCATTCACATTCCCTCTATCTCCCCGTCCCATCAGAAGGTGTTGGGGCTCCTACCTTCCTCCTCCTGCAGATTTCCCCTTGCTCTGTCCACCATGTCCCTATCCAGCCTGGCTCTCACCTCCTGCTCTCTACCTCTGCACCTGCTCAGCGGGGGTCCCACCACCACACCGACCTCCTCTACTCCACATTCAATCTCACTTCCTTCTGCTCTTCTCCATCCCAGGCCTAGCAACCATAATTTGCCTTTTACTCACGCTGTGAGGGGGCCTGTTCCCTCCCACTGGCCAATGAGACTATTAAGGGTATGCTGGCCCTTTAAGACTCTGTTCTCCTGGACATCCAGTTTACTTCTCTTTAAGCCTTGTATTGTAACCTTCCCAAGGGCCTGACTGCCTGGGCCTCAGAACCTCTGGTAGCCTTATCTCACTCCACTCCTCAGAGGGTTTCTGGGTCTCTTTCTTAGGCAGCTCCTTGCTGAGGCACTCCATGGAGGGGGGTCCTCAGCCTCTCTGGCAGCCTCCCCGTTTTGTCTGAGCTGCTGCTAGTCAAGCCATGAACC